AGGACAGATGGATGGATGATGATGGACGGATGGATGGATGGAAGGACAGATAGATGGATGGAAGGACAGAGAGATGGATGGATGATGGATGGATGAATGGTCAGACGGATGGGTGGATGGACAGATGGATGGACAATGGATGGATGGATGGAAGGACAGGTGGATGGAAGGATGGGTGGATGGATGGATGGAAGGACAGATGGATGTTAGATAGATGACAGATACACAGATAGATGACATAGAGCTTTATTGTCTATGAAGCTATATTTGTCCCATCAAACTTATATAAAACAACAGTGTAAAGTACTTAATGTATGAACATCAGCTTTGTGTAATTTGTTGGGACTCACCTACTCAATTTCATGCTGCTAGCCTTCTTCCATATTGTTTTGTGACTAGCTCACTCATTGCAACTGCTACAGAGCATTCCATCACATGACTGTATCACCCCTCATTAACCCAAATCCCCTCGACGGTCATTTTGGCTGCTTTCAGACAGTTGCTCTGGTGAACAATGCAGCCGGTCACGTTCTCTCACACGTCTCCTGCATACACATGTGAGATGTTTCACTGGGTTATGTGCCAGGAAGAGACTGCTTGATTATGGGGAACAGAATATTCAGAGAATACACCACACTATTTCCCCAGACGGCTGCGCCAGAGTATCTCTGACGTGCAGGGTGCAAGAGAATCTGGCGGTACACGTGGTCTCCATCATGTGGCCTCATCAGACTTGTGAACATTTGCTAACCTAGGAGCACAATGGACTCTGTTCCTGACTGGCATTTCCCTGGTAACTAGTGAAGCTGGACGTGTCTCTGCTGTGTACATGCTCTGTGACTCGCCTGCGCATGTCCCCCGGGTTATGGAAGGCTCTCCTTGGCTCCACTAAACCTCTGTAGAGTAGAAATGACTGCCTGGCTTGAGCAGGAGGGCTCTGTGAGAAAACCCAGAGGAATTGAAGGCATGGTAACCATGGTGATCATGGGACACTGGGGAACACTCACCAAAGAATGACTTAATTTCTAATCAGCTAATCTTTAAGTCTTCCCAGCTGCACTCATCAGGTAGACCAGCTCTCCCCTGCAAGGCCTCCCCTGGATCAAGACCCCTGACCATGTTGTCTCAGGAAGATGAAAGCTTGTCTTTCTGACCATCTGTGTGTCTTCTTGCCAGACCAGGCCCACATGTTGCCTATTCCCCAAGTTAAGGGATGAAGGCCCAGTGCTCTGGAGGGATTGGAGCAGGGGCCCTGATTTTCCCTTCCGAATAAGGAGGCTTGGGAAGGCGGCAGCTGGAGAGAACCGGGGTCAAGAGGTAGTGCTAACACGGGGGGTTGCAGCCCACAGGAGGGCCCCCCACCACCTGCACACCTTCACAGCTGCCCCACACTCACCACCCCGTCAGCCCCCTTCTCTGTAACCCGTGACTCATGACTTATCCAACTATCATTCTCCACCCTTCACTCATTCATCTTTTATTCTACTTGCTCATTCATTCAGCAAAATTGCCAACTCCCTGCCAGGGGGGCTGGCCTGGGAGGAGAGTTCCGGGGATCTCTGTCCAAGGAAGGCCTGGGGTCCCGGCTCCAAATGAGCAACCTCCCAATAAGCAGCCCACCGGGGGTGGGTAGGGGAGTACAGGATGGAGCCTGACATGGACACCCTGCCCACTTCAACACCCCCCGCCCAACACACAAGCCACACAAACAGCTGAGTGCTCCCTGGGCAAAGCAACTCATGCAGACCAAGCCCCCAGCCTCACTTCTGCCTCCAGACCCTCCCACACGGTCACTGAGTCTCCTGGCTGGACAGACACTCGGCAAGTTTTCCCAAACCCTTCCCGGGCCTTCACCCAGCCAATATTCCCTGGCTGCTCCCAGCCATCTGACCAGCACCAAGAGAAGTGTGAGATCAGGGGAACTTGGGCACAGTGAGGGATGGGGGAGGCTTGCCTTCAGCCTGGGAATTCTGGAACTTCAGCAAAGGCAGGTGATATGACACCCACCTTGCCCACAGACTCTCCTCCTCCTCCTCTACACAAGGGCCCCACCCTCTATCTCTCCATCCTCTAGGACGTCCCCTTGGATGTCCCGTGGATGCCCCAGCTCAGCCTAGACAGCCCTGAGCTTGTCACCGGTTCCACCTATCCCAAACTGCTCCTCATCTGTGCCCTCCCCGGGGTGATCCTCCCCTAGGCCAGGCATGGGCCGTCCCTTCCATCAGCCCTCACTCCCCCCACCACCCAGCCGTCCCCTCCCAGAATTCTGAATCCTACTGCCCTAGACAGGCACCAACCACCCTGTCACATGCTCTGGTCCCTGACCATCCAAGCCCTCCCCCATCTCCACATAGTGACCCACTGGTCCTTCTGAGAACCTGGATGTGAGCCCATGACTCCAATACATGGTCAGCTCTTCACTGCCCGCAGGCTGGACTTCAAAGGTGTCCAGGCCAGCCTGGTTCCCTGAAATTTGGGCTCCTCAGGCTCGAACTTTCCCCAATCACTGTCCACCCTGTCCCCTAATAAGCTTGCTGGCAGAAAGGCCCACCTGTCAACCCCTCCCGAAGCTCAGGGCCAGCAGCACGTGTTCTCCCCAGCAAGAGCCAGATCCCTTGCCCACATGCTGAGGGCTGTGGCCTGCACAACCTCACCTTGTCTGCCCAGGCTCTCAAAGTGCCAACTCAGGGGTGAGTCAAGGTAGATCCATGCCCCGGTTCTGCAGTCCCCGCCCCGGCCCCTCTCTCACTCGGGATCACTTTATGATCAATGTTCTTAGGGGTTTCAATGTCAGCCAACACAGACCCAAGCATCAACCTCGGACAGAAAGACAAGAGAATGACTTTTCAAAACGTAGAACAAAACCGCAACACCCTCCAAGTGCAAAGTCTAACTGAAGGGAGAACCCTCTGTCGTCTCACGCATCCCTGCAGGGACTGGGATGGGCACAGTCCCTCAGGCTGGTGAGACAGCCACATCCCCCAAAGTGACAAGCCACGGACCCTGTGGCTCAGCAAGGCCACACAGGGGATCCGATCCCCAGATGCACTTGCCAAGTGACACGTGACAGTGAAGCAACCGCAGCCCGCCTGAGGTGGACACTGAGAGCATCCCGGGAGGCGGGGGAGGCCTCTGCACCGTCATGCAGACGCATCAGCACTACACGACCCCCTGGCACAGGGGGCGCAGAGAATACAATCATCCCCGCATTTCCCCGTTCCCGCGCGAAGACGCCCTGAATGCACAGGGGCCCCAGGCAGATAGCGGTGGGGCTGGGGCGGGAGACACACTTCTCACCTCACTGACGGGCACGTGGCCTCTATTCAAAAACTTAAGTTAAAAGAAAATGTGGAAGTCCCTCAGCTACTTCCCAGGACCAGGGTCCCTGTACGCCCTGCCCCAGCAGCCCCCGCACGGAAGGGGAAAGAAGCCCCGGAGCCTCACTCTCTGGAGCCCACGGGGGAAGCTCTGGCCCCTCCTGGTACCCTCTGCAGGGGAGCGACCAGGCCCACCTCACCTGTCTGCCCACTGCTCTGTCCCTGGGGCCTAGAGCCTAGCACTTAGCTCCCCAAAAGTGGAAATGAATCCATAAGCACGTAAAACCGTTAGCTTGCTCTCCCCATCTCTCTGGTGGGCACCCTCTGCTTGCTGTGGGCTGTGGGTGGTGCAGATTTCTGGAGCCCAAACTGGGCACTTTAAGTCGGGATCTGGGGGCAGGGCCCAGGCGTGTGCATTCAAGCCCTCATCTGCTGGGATCTCACAGCCACCAGGGAGCTTGCAGGGAGGACTGACTTCCTTACCTGCTCAGAGAAAGGTCCACTTTCCTGTGAAACTCAAGGACCTTTGGGTCTCCAGTGTGCAGATGTTGGGTGAAGGTGGGAGATACCTGGAGACATCTCCGGTGAATGTCCCTCCTATAGAAGGTGAAGGAGCAGGGTGCCTGGGGGTCTTTGTCCAGTGCGGCTCCCCGCTCCAGCACCGTGTGCAGGGCTGAGCTGCCAGCAATGCCCTGGGGCCCCAGGAGCAGATGGAAGCAGCCAGGAGAGCGGGGCAGGGGGCCAGGGTCTGGCAGTGTGGAGACACCAGATACAGACTGGATCGGACAAGGCAGACGCATCTGTGGGCGGCTGGGGGCACAGGCAGGGGGAAGGGTGGGAGAAAGACCGCCAGGGAAGGTGCACTGGGAGGAGCTGTTATTTCAGAGGAGGTCGCAAGTCTGGGGAGGCGGGGGGCTCGGCAGAATAGGGGAGGGGTCAAGAGCAAGCGTCAGGCCCCTAGAAAGGAAGGGTGTCCACCCTCCCATCCCCCCACCCCCCTGTGCCATCCACCCTGCCAGCCGGAACAAGGTTCCTCTGTCTGCACGCCCCCGGCACCCCACGAGCTGGGTGTATCCCCACCTCACAGACAGAAGCAAGGCTCAGAGGGGATGCAGGACTTGGTCAAGATCAAACAGCAAGAGACATCTGAGTCCAGGCATTTCCTGCAAACGCGGTGAAGATTTCAGTGTGTCAGGTCTTACCTCTTCCAGGTCTGTTTCCTCGGTGTCAAGTGGGCATAACAAGACCTCTAACCGGGCTGAGGTCAGGTGCAAACGAGGAGATGAACAGCTGCTCTGAGAGGGACAGGCCCCAGCCCCACCGGTCCTGCAGCTTCCCTGGGCCTGCACCAGAGGCCCTCGAGACCCCCCAGGAGCCAGGCTGCTCCAGAGCGTGGGTGCCCATCTCCTCTGTGAGGCTGCCAAAATCCTGAGCTCACCTCCCACGAGGACACCCGAAGGACTAGAGACCCATCTCAATCCTGGAGCCAGCGCACAAGTCCTCTGATGCAGTGATCCTAACCAGGCGCTGGCAATGGGAGTCTGGCGTGACCCCCCAGCATTTACCTGCTGCGAACGCCAAGGAGTCTCACCACCAGCAACAGAACCCACTGCAGTAACTACTAATTAAACGAGGGGACATGTCTTCGTATCAATAAATGGTGAAAGGGTATTTCTCTTAAACTCATCAGCTGTCCCTCATAAAGAAATCTAATTGAAATATGAATAAACAGTGTAAGCTAAATAAAGACTGATTTCAACTCCAAAAGCAAACATCGACTCAAGGTGCCACAGGGAAGTCCGGTGAACAGACACGCCCTGGGCCGTGTCATCGGTCAGCCGGCTTCAAGGCCCCGCTAACGCAACAGGCACAAAAATTGAATACCCAACAAAAATATTGGGAAAGCAGAGTCGTCTTCATTTGTACACTGCCTGGTGGCATACCTTGAACATCTAAGAGACGGCAACAATGGAATGTGCAAAGCTCAGTGCTGGAAAATAAGTAGCTCTTCCTTGCGTGGGTTCAGCGCTGTCGGTGGCCGCCCCGTGTCACACCCCCACCCTCTGCGCCTTGTGGACACCCCTGCATGTGAGCCGCATGCGTCTGGAATTCAGGAGCGCACTCAGCAGCCTCCCAGCCCCGAGGGCGTCCCTACATGACTTTGGCTCTGCCGGGGAGATGCATCCAGACCACACCACCGAGCAGGGCTGAGGAGGGGCGAGGGGCCGCGCTCCGCCCGCCTGGAGAGCCCCCACTCCCACCCCCCACCAGCAGAGCCCCTCCTGAAAGCCCTCCACTGACTCCCGCGGCCTGGGCTGTCGAACTCACACGTGTGAGCACAGCCGAGCGAGGAGCGGAACTTTACTCTTTCTGTCACAGTTTTTCTCTCCAGACCCATCTGACCAGGCGACAGAAGCCCGATGTCTTGGTCTCTTCCCTCCCAGGGCTGCGTGCAATGAGGGACGACAGGCAGATCCACTGCCTCACCCCTGCCCTATCTCGTCCATGCACAGCGCCCGGGACACACAGGCTGTGCCCTCACTCGGGTCACTGTGGCCTCGCCCTGACCCTTGTTCCCAGGCCCCACCACAGCGTGGAGGCCCCAGGCTGTCTGCAGCCCCCCTACCAAGACCTCCGCCAGCGGGTACCGCTCGGGTCCTGCTGCTCAGGAGCCTCTCTCTGGGACCCACCCCACCCTCCGCTCCTTCAGGCCCTTCTGCCGGCTCAGCCCAGGGGCATCTCTGCCTAGTTTGAGGAAGGTCCCGCTCTCCCTCCCCGTATGAAGCGTTTCCACAGGCTTCTCTGCAGACTTATTCCCTCCGACTCAGAGAGGACCGTGGCACCGTAGGGGGGAGCTCTTGGAAACATGGAGGCCAGTGATCCACGGGCTCCGTCGGTTGTCTGCCCTACTGATCCCCCAAACCCCCAGCCGTCCTGCTTAAATGAAGGCCAGGTGGGGGGTGGGTACTTCTAGAAAGAACGGCATGAAGAAAATGAAAAACCAGCTCACCACACCAAAAATGACCACTGTGGTTTAAAGAAAAGGAGGAAGTCCCAGTTACAACCACCAAAACTACAGGTTACCTAGCTTAGATGCCGAGGGAGGTACAAGACCCACAGGGGGGAACGAGCCAGAACAGGGGTGCGATCAGGTGGCCGCCGGATGGACAGGAGCTCCGCGCTCCAAGTGGGAAGCCCTCATGCCGCGGAGACAGCCTCCGGCCCCAGCGGCACGCAAACCGGTGAAACTGCAGTCAACATCCTGACTGTTATTCTGGAACTGCACAAACGGATTCCAGCATTCACCTGTAAGAATAAATCGCAAGAAGTGACAATCTTCTTTTCAAAAGAGGAGCAAGGAGGGGACTTGCCTCACCAGCTGGTGAACGTGGGCAGCGCCCGGTGGGGCCCACGCGCGGTGGCCAGAACACACACCATGGGTGTCATGCGCGCTATGACCAAGGTGGCACTTGGAGTCACGGGGAAAGACAGGTGCGTTCATGAACAACATCGACAAACACCGGCCATGTATTTCAAAGAGGTCCTGCCTCCTGCCGCATGGTAAACAAACTCCGGGTGCATCGGGTATCTGAAGGAAGTAGCCAAATCCGTAACAGTAGCAGAATATAAAGACTGTTTTCCTAAGATAAGGGCAGAGGAGGCTCTCCTACGATCTGAAAGCCAGAAACGATAAAAGAACAATTAGATTCAACCACACAGAACTTGAGGACGTGCACGCATGTACTGGGAAAACACCAAAAATGAAGATACTTGGAAAACACAGACCACAGGAAAGATGGTACCTCACAAGAGGGCCTTATACTCCTGTAGGAAAAGACAAAAGCCCAAAGCGGACCAAGGGTGCGACCGGCAATTACAGAAGAGACGCTCATAAGTCGGGACAAACTCGTAAGACGTTCGATCTCACTACTAAGTTCTCCAATGGAAATCAGGGTAAGATCCTACTCTTCGTCTCCCAGGCTGACGGGAGCTCCCAGGGGATCCATGGGGGAAGGGTGGAGGGGCCCGGGAGGAGGGACGGGCGCAGCCTTCCTTCGGGGAGATCTGCTCCTTCCAAGGAGATGGGGTTTTTCTGGCTCAACCGCACACTTCCTGAATCCGCCTGAGACGGAGAGTCACTGGACTCCATAAGGACATGAGGACGAGGGTGGTCACGGCAGTGCCGATCAGAGACTGAGAGCGGGCCCCTCTGCCCTCAGGTGAGGGCTGGTTAAGAAAAGCGCGGTTTGCTCATGCAGAGGAATACTAAGCAGACACTGAAAACAAAAGGTCCACGTAGATCCGGACAGGATGACCTTGGTGGATTCTTCAGAGAAATTATCAAGTGGCACACATCGCGCTGTCCATGTGCCCAGCCGGACCCAGCACGCCCCACAGACGGTGGGGTCCAACCCCGCAATGGCAACTCATCACGGCGGAGACGGCTCACTCACTCTCAGGCGTGGGGACCCAGACTTGGATGGGGCAGCTGGGGAGTGGAGAAAGGAGAGCTCAGAGCAGGCTCTCTGGGCCATGCTGCCCCGAGCCTCCCTTCGCCTTGAATCGCACAGCTGGAAGGATCTCCCCACTTCTGTGTTTTAAATACTTCCCTCAGGTAATAAATTCGCACACAGAGATTGACCTGAAAGTTGGTTTGAACCCATGGGGCAGCATCTTGTCCTCTGGGAACCTCCAGGGCCCCCATGGAACCGCATCCTAGGTGGCACCAGCTTCTGGCCTCTGAATCCTCAAGCCGCTCTTCACACTTGCACTAAGTGAGAGTGCCCAGTCCCTACACGCCCCCAAACACCAGACACAGCGGTGGGCAGCACACTTTACTGAGGTTTGGGCGGCATTGCAGGGCAGCAGAGCAAACTTAAAACGGAGCGGGAGACACGTCCCTGGCCAGTGCCACCAGCAGGAAATGGACATGGTCTCCAGCGACTCCTCTCCTGTCTTGTTCACCCCGGACTCCCAGGTCCCTCTCCCTCAACCACACACAGGAGCCTCGGGAGGACTGCCACGGCCAGCTCTTAGTGAAACCACGGTTCTTGCCAAGGGATCCAGGACCCAGGAGCACCCACAGCCTGGGTCAGCCACAGAAGGATGAGGAAGAACTGACTAAAGGCCAGACCCCAGAGAAGCGTGGGGTGACTGCTGACATCACGTGGTGAGCCTGGGCCACGGGGTGACCCACGTGGCCTGGGAGCGTGGGAGATTGGGCTGAACCCAGGGGTGCAGGGACAAAACCAGAGACCCACCACCAGAGCAGGAAGGGCCAGAAGTGATCCCTAAGATCTACCTGCAGTTGCTCCCCTGCCTCCTCCCGCCCGAGGCACCCAGTCCATCTGCGCCATCCCACGTGGGGCTGCCTCAGCCCCCGCTCAGGGGCTGGCCTTCACGACCCTGCCCAAGGAGGTGCCCTAGGTGGGGGCAAGGGGTCTCTGGTTAAGAGGCCGAGTCTGGGCACAAGAGTGCTCCCAACAGCTCTTTGGGGAGCGGGCCCCCGAGTCTGATCACGGCAAGGCTCCATGAAAGAGCGAGTGAGAGAAAGAGCAAGAGGAAGGGACACGCAGGGCGTGTGTGTCTGCGTGTCCCTGTGTGTGCACAGACGTGCATGTGTGTGGGCTGGGGCACACCAGTCCGGGCGCTGGTGTGACATCCCTGTTTCAGCGTGCACACCTGTGGACGTCTGCGGGGGCTCGCGTGTGCATCTGTGCGAGTGGGCGTGGACGCGGAGCACACCCCTGCAGGCATGGATGTGCGCGTGCACTCACACACGCTTACAAGGCCTTACCCTCGTGTCCCTGTCCCGAGATTCTGTCCACTCTAACCTCCGCTCCCATCCGCTACCAGGCCCCAGGTGCCCCAGGCTGCCCAGCACACCCACAAACCCCCAGTCCCAGTGGCCCACGTCCTCGGAGCCCCTCTCCCTGCTCTGCCAGCCTGACCCCCACACCCAGGCTCAGACCCAGGTCTCTGGACCAGAAGTGAGTTTATTTCTCTGCGGAATATGCCCTCGAAGCCGTCGGTTGGGCTGGGCCTGGCTCTGCCTGGCTTCCCCTTGGAGACCTGGGGGTCCCAGCTCCCAGCCCTCACCCCCCGGGGCTTCCTGCAGACACCGGGTCTCCTAGAGGCGTCCTGCTGGCCGGGACTCAGAGCTGGTGGAGAGAGGGAGGCCTCACGGCTCAGGGAGGGGCAAGGGCCAGGCTCCAGGGAGGAAGCTCGGAGCCCTGCAGGAGGGAGAGGGCCTCAGGGCCCAGCCCCAAGGAGGGCGGGCCCGAGGCTGAGCAGGAGGCCCCCAGCCAGGGCCCAGAGGCTGCCCCCCGCCCCCGGCCCCCCGTTGCACAGGTCTCCCCCGCAACAGTCCACATCCACTTTTAAGATCCCAGAGTTAATGAAGCCCATCAGATAGTCTGAGAAGAAGTGTCGTTTCACGAAGTCACAGGATGAGGCGCACATCTTGTTCACGGAATGATCCTTCCTGCCTGGGGAAGAGGTAGGAGAGCCTGGGACAGGAGCGGCACCTGGGCCCTCTCTGCCTCACGCCCAGGGCCAGGACCCAGCCCAGGAAGCAGCTCGGGACCCCAGACAGCAGAGCTGAGCTTTTCAACCCACCCACCCTGTCTCAGCGATCTGGAGAGGGCCACAGGGGGCACCTGCTCAGCCTCACACAGCAGGCCACCCACAGCCCTGCGCCTTTAGTCGAGGACAGAGGGGCTCAGATGACACCCCCAACCGCTCCCCACCCAGGCCCCGGTCCTGACTCACTGCTACTGGGGTCGGTGATCCGGACGCTGGCGCACACTGTATCCGACGGCTGGCACTGCTTTGGGGTGCAATGGCTCGAGTTGGTGGTCAGGGTGCAGTCCTGGCACCACAGGCCATGAGCTGGGCAGGGCACAAGGACTCCGATGACCAGAGGAACCGGGGGCCAAGCCAGCCGTCCCCCTGTCCCCTCCCACCCGCCTACTGCGGGCACTGCTAGGAGAACCAGGCCGCTGTAGGAGGCCGAGCACCCCCTGCCAGGAGGGAGCAGGCACCTGGAGGTCAGGCCCTGGGAGAACCTGTGTGCCTTCCCCGCCACTTGGGGGGAGGGTCCCACCATTGCAACTCTGGCAGCCCCTGGCCACCCTGGCGGCGGCAGGCACAGGTGTGCACACGCCAGCCCCACATCTCTCAGCCCTCTGGTGCTCTCTTGCACACTCCTACCCCTCCCACACCTCCCCGCAGACTTCTCTTGTTTCGAGGAAAGAAGGACCACACAGACTTGATGGGAGGCCAGGTGGGGCTCTGAGAAGCGATGGAGCGCGAGAACCCCGCCCTGAGCGAGGGGCGTCCGTGCAGGACTAGCCGCCGGTGCGGAAAACCGGGAGGAAAACCGCTCGGTGCCCTCAGGAGCCAGGAGGACCCCGCGTGGCTGGGGCTGGGGCTGGAGCTGGAGCACCGTGAGTGAAGGCGACAGGCGCGAGGGCCGGCTGGTGTCGCCAGGGTCCCGGAGAGGGTGTGGATGTGACCGGCACCGTCGGAGGATGGCGGCCCCGCAGCCCGGCTCTCTCCGGAGCCGCCTCGGGCTCCTCCGGCGACCTGGCCCAGGCCCGCGGGGCGCCCCCACACTCACCGGGCGCAGAGCACAGCAGGGCGGCCAGCAGCACCAGGCCGAGGCCGTTCATGGCTGCAGGCAGCATGCTCCAGGCGGGCCTCGGGAAGGCGCGGGGGTTGGGGGCGGAGGTCCTCCGGGCGCGGGCCTGGCAAGGAGAAGCCTCGGTCAGGAGCCCCAGCCTCCTGCCAGCCCGAAGCCCCCTCCCCTCTTTTGGCACGGGATCGCAATGTACCCCCCTCCTCGGAATCTCAGAGCTGGGGGGGCGGGTGGAGATTGTTCGCAAGCTCGCAAAGCCCCACCCCCAGCCCATCCCCCAGAGCGTCCACCATCACAGCATTCCCTCCAGGGAGAATAGGTCTGCCGTCTCGGGCAGGGTGACAGCTCGAAACGCCCCAACCCGCTCCTGGCACCTGTGGGGTGGGGGGTCAGGGGGAGCGCGTCTTCTCCTCCTTGGGGAGCGGTAGGTGCGTCCGGAGAGAAGAGGGCTAGACAAGGTGCGAGCAGGCGGTACCTGCCGATGGAGGAGGGGCGCGAGCCACGTCCCCACCCCCACCCCTGGGCTGGGGGCCCGGGAACCCCGCGCCGAATCCCCTCCCGTCGCCTCCTGCGCGTGCCCGGGCGCTCACCGCAGGTCGGGGCGTGGAGGGCGGGCCTCGGGTCGGGGGCGCACTCACATCCCTGGGGGGTCGGCACTCCAGCGCTCCGGGAGGCGCGAGGAGCGGTGCCCTTCGGTCTCCCTGCGGACCGGAACCCGGGCGCAGCCTTGTCTTTCGGGGAACGCAGCCGCAGACGCGGACCCCGCGCGAGGGGCGGGGC